TGTGTCTGTCTGTCTGTGTGTCAGTGTGTCAGTACTTTCTCAGCAGGCAGGTAACTGAAGGGGAACACAAAGCGCCAGTTGAAGTTTCCTTCTCCAGTCAGAGAGTTGTAGTGGACGTCTGTCTCCTGTCGGTCGTCCTCTAAACCTTTCAGCCAGCTACAGAGAAAGACGGACAGTAGCAGCGTTTACATAGAAATGTCTCTAGAAAAACAGCCTGGATATTGAAGGGAGGAAAAAGAAGGTGTATATATATATAGTTTTCTGTTTGGGAACAGCAAACTAAAAGTAAATCCCGAGTCTTGAGTTGACAAAGAGCTCATAGTCACCCCTTGATGTAGATATCACTGGACTGTTGACCCGTCAGGAAGTTGCTGTCCTCCAGAATCACATCTTCTGTGTTCCAGATGATGATACGCAGCTCGTACCTGAACACACACGTTGGGGTTGTTAGTTGCCCTTTTTCAAAAACAAATATTGGTCTATGAAGACTTTAAAAAAACACTATGTAACTTTTCTACCTTAAAATAGCAGCTCAACTATCATTTTGATGCTACACTGCGTTGTAACAGGGCGAATGGTGCCTCAGTCATTCCCACTCTGCCCCCCGTACGCCTGTTCTTGCACTGTGTAACTTTTGGCTCCGGGTCATAACAAGTGTGTAATGCTTTACGGCAGTAGTCACATGCCACCAACTATGTCACTGAATGGTTTTCTCATTCAGTGATTCTGGGGAAGTGTTGGTGTTTACACTGGTAGCACAGGAGATTTGGATCGCTGGGAGGAGGAGGTTGTCAGATCTCGGACGGGGGAATGGCGGGGTTTGGCGGTGTTGGCAAAGTTTGATCAATAGTAATGTTATCACAACAAACACACAGTTGTCCATATTTACCACAGTGGTATTGCAGCTGGGGGGGTGCCAAATCCCAACAAACCCCAAATCTTACATAATGCTGCTTTAAAGATTGGCCAGCAGGTTCTGTCTTCAGATGCTGAAAGAGACAGCTCTCACCCTTTCGGTTTTCGAGGTGAAATATCCACTGAAGGTCCCGGATGAGGCAAGTCCATGGGAAACATGTCAACCCACATCTGGACCTGACCCTACACAGACAGACACACACAGCAGAAGAATCAAGAATGGTCCCTTGTCTTAGTGCTGAAATGATGCTTCCTCAGCTGCAGAGGGAAGGGGGGAAGAGTTTTGAAGTTTGAAACCTTTTGAAGGCAGCTTACAAAAATACTTTATCACGTTTCATTCAGAGGAAGCACTTTGTAAGATAATGTTAAAACGTATACCTGGTCCATGCCGGGCCGATCCTTGTTGAACAGAGTTCTGGTCTCAATGTGCTCTTGCACCAGCTTGCATCCCACAGCGGGGATCTCCGCCCAGCGGTGCAGGATCTTCAGAGACAGGTGCTCATAGGACTCCACCGGCTGGTCTGAGACATTGGCACACATAACGATCATTAAAGTTGCCCACACACACCACAAGATGATCATCAGATGATCTTTAAAATCTGAGCAATGTGCCAGTATGTTTCCAGTCTTCACCTTCATGCATGAACAGCGTCTTGCCGGTGAAAACTTTTTCAGCCACGGTGATGCGTCCTGGTCTGAAATGAGGATCGTCCAGACCGTTCTCTCTGCACAGCTTACACAGCAGCTCTGATGGCTTCAGGCAGTCTCTCCACGCATTATAACCATCACTATCAGACAGACAGGTGCAGAGGGGGCACAGTAACTTGTTTTCGTATGATTATGATAGAAATGAGTTTTAATGAAAGCTTTAGAAAGAGTTCTCCAAATCACCTAATAAGAGCACAGAGATGAAGTAGGTATAAAGTAAGAGTTAAGTCAAACCAGCAGGATGGATAATAGACCTTTTTCACAGCAGCCATTTTGACATGAAACAGGAGCCAATAGCACCCCCCAACTCTGTTTGACCTGAATGAAATGGAACCCTTATTAGTATCATTGGTAACACCTGTGTTTACCTACTATTGTACGTCAAAATGTCTGCTGTGAAAAAGATCTATTTAACTAGATGAACAAGGCAGGAAAATAACTCAAACTTAACTTCTCCCCACTGGTTTACAAACACAAGGAGCTGACTTACAGGCTGTACTCCCTAGGGATTCCACAGGTGGCTCTGTGTCGGCTGTAGAACCGGTTCTCCAGGTCTATTCGAGTCTCTCCTATCAGGTCGTCCCCTCCCACCAAGTCATAGTCATAGATCAGTACGGACAGCACAGACCCCTGAGGAAATGTCGCCTGCATCTCAAAAGATCTGGAAGAAGGAATGCAGGAGAAACAGCTTGAAAGGTTCTGTGTCAGGTTTAAAACTTGCAGGGAAGTTGTAGTGAGCCAGTCATGTACCTCCCAAACACAGGATTCAGCTGTTTAGGGATGTAGTTGTCTCTGTCTTTGATTTCGTTCTTGCCAATCCGTAGAACAATGTACGGGTCCGCCTTCCCATCCGGGTCAGCTGGGTGCAGGTTAGATGCCTAGGCAGACAGAAGAGAACATTACATAATATAACACCATGGTATACCGGTACTTTAGTCTCATACTAGTGAAGAGGGTTCAACCTTGTGTGGGAAATCCATCGCAGTCTCCCTGTGTTTCCTAAGCATGTACATATTATTTTTATGTATTTGCCAATGGGTGAACGGGTTCTAACGCTTTTTTTATGCACGCTCTCGAGTGCCTTCTCTCTGTGTCTCCCAACAGTGTGCACCACTGGCCAACGTGAGCTTATAAATCGAGTCTACAAACACAGAGTCCGAAATCAAAGCTCACAATAATGTAAAGCTTGTGGAAAATATTGTGATAATGTGGTTTTAGCTGGCTAACATTAGCTTGCTTGCGTATGAGGACGATTTGCTAGCTTGTTAACGTCACAAAACACTGCCTGAGTGGATGTCAGCTAATTCATCCATACTCCTGGGGCTGGTAAATTAAATGCTTGTCGTTTGCAGGTTAATAAATGATGTACAGTACAATGCCATTGATTGCTTTCTTATAGCTAAGAGCAATTCCAGGCAGGAGCGGCTAACTGGGGTTGGCTGGCTGGCTGTGGCTTGCCTGCACGGTGTGGGTGTGGCATTGATTGCTTTGTGGTGATAGCCTAAGGAGGTTAAAAAATGAGAACGCACAGAGATAATGTAAACCCGTATGAGAACTTGGACCGGGCCGTTGGGAGGGATTCCTCTGCTGACTCTGAAGTACCCGGCGTCAGTGCCTTGGTCCCAGTCCTCTTCCTCGTCCTCACTCAGTTTATACAGGCAGAATCTCCCCTGCAGAGAAGAATATGCCCATAGTGGATTAGGTCAATAGTTAAAATATAGTCAGTGGTTCCCAAGGTAGCACCCATAGAGGACATTCAACCTAATCGTCTCACCTTAAATTTTCCAACAAATCTCTCCTCAGTCGCCCCCTCTTCCTCATTGGCTTTCCCTCTGAACAGCTCATATGTGTTCACCCAATCGTCAAAAAGCCCAAACTCTGCCTCCAGCTCCTTGTTGTACAGCTGTAGAGAGATTGAAGACAGTGTGAATAAACAATTCATGCAGGATGGAGAATCACACACTCCAGATCTCTGGACAGTTAACAGATTCACTAAATGCGGTGTGAGTTTTAATAACATACAGGGTTCGTTAAAAAATGATTGCCCTTTAAAGCTGCAGTAGGTAACTTTTTTAAAAATAACTTTTTGTTAATATTGCTGTGAAACTTTCACTATATCCTGACAGTAGTACATGAGACAGATTATCTGTGAATCTGTGAACCATTAGGAGCAGTAGGAGGAGCCAGAGGAAGCTGATTTAAAATATATATATATATATATTTACCCACATGAAATTCTACATGTTGGTATAATAAAAAATATGTATATCCTTCTTGATGAAGGTGCTATGGTGGCAATATATGTTGTCCCATCCTAACAGATGCAACAAAACCAAAAGGATGGTCAACCAAGCACAATCTGACACGCTGTGTTACCAACAGTGCCATTAAGGAACTTGTCTTTGCTGTAGTCCATCACTGGTGTTAGCTGTGTCTGCCTGTCTTATTGGATTTGCAGTGTTTGTGAACTGCGTACCTTGAGTGTGGCTAATTTAGTAGGTAGACCAACGCTTGGCTCCACGGTTCCTTTTCCTTTTTGTTTTTTCTTCTTGTCTCCATCTGAAGTGCTGACTGATGAAACAAACAAGACATGTGATCAGTGGTACACACTGACACAAAACTGCGGGTGTGTAGTGAAAAAAGCAAAAACATGTATTTGCATTCTGACAGTGATTAGAGCTCCCAGATTGTGAAAAATTAACACTTTGGGTCCCAAAGTTTCAAGCCACCAACCCAAAGTGTAAGTATTTTTACGACCTGGGAATGAGGATCATCAATTTGTTTCCATTGTAATGCCAAAGAATACCATACTCATTCTTAAAATCATAGATTACCACTGCTTAAAGTATGCAAAAAAGCAGAAGCTGAGGGTAATAGTGGCAGCTGCAGGGCAGATCATGCAGCGACAGAACCACACATCCAGAACATCAACACCTAAACTAGCTTAACAACAGAGTTGCCTATGTGCTGTACCACAGAAAACAGTAAGATACACTCAGTTCCCAGAGCTTCCAGTTGTCAGTAAACAAGTTACCAAGCAAAAGATTTCCTCCCAGAAGTCAGAGGGGCCAAAAATGGCTTAAAAATGCTGTCCCTGAATGACACTCTTTGTCTTTGTCCTTACCCAAGGAGTCTATTCCAACGCTGAGCAAGCTCTGGTACGTCAAAGCTGCAATGCACAATGTGTGTGTGGGTAAGGGAAAAATAATGGGATAACCCTTTCGAAGACCAATTTACTCGCAATATTTATTTATTTATTTAACAGACCTAAATTGATGATGTCAGTGGTGAGTAAGTAACATGCATATAAACTGTTTTTTGCAAAGATTTCATTGATAACAATTACTGGTGAGAATGTGCTGAAATGCTTGAACAATAGAAATAGGGCTAGATCTCTTCTAATTCACCCACTTGGTTGGCAAACTATACTTCCTTTTGTGGTGGTTCATTTACTAGTATTAGTTGAATACACTTTAAACCTGCAATTTCTGGGCCACTTGGGGGCAGCAGAAACAAGGGAACCTAGTATCCAGAAATATTTAAATACACTAGGCAAAAACATTTATCCCACGTGCAAAAAACTGAATGGTTTTTGCTCCAAACTGAATATGATTAGCATAAAGTGGACACTCGTGGGTACCCGTGGAACCCATTCTTATTCAGATATCTTGAGGTCAAAGGATTCCTTTGAAAATGGCCGTGCTAGTTTTTCCATCGCCAAAATTTTCCTGTGGAAGAGAGAAGGATAATGGGGTAACACTGGCCAATCAGATTTCAGCGGTGGCCATTGCACCCCTTTGGACATGCCCCTGGGTTTCTGGCTTTTTCACTTTTGTAGCCAAACAAAGCAGTGTGCATTGAACCAGTCCACTAATATGGACCTTTGACATTGAATTCAACAAAACCAACCGTTCACAGAGCACCTTCAACACGACTGACAATAATGTCACCTGAGAGGAGTTCTTACTTTTTTCAAAGACGTGGGGGAATGGAGAGCCGTCCTTCTCTTTGGCCTGGAACACAGAAACATGTTCATGTTTTATTTTGAAAAATATTTTTTGATCTTTGGCAATAAAACTCAACAATCACAGCTACCTGCTTCTCTACAGATGCGTAGTATTTGGACCACCAGTCGATGACAGACTCTGCTGATTCGTCAGCGATGGTCCGCTTCCTCCGCTTGGTGGAACGATGAGTGCTCTTTGCCCTGCTGTCCTGGATTTAAAATATGCACATATACATGCAAATAATATTTAGAGATGGCTACATGGGATCCATTAGAACCTAGTTTAGTCATAAATGCATAAACTTTCACCCTTTTTGTCCTGGGTTCTTGCTTAGGGGTGGGTGGGGCCGGAGGTGGGGCTTCATCCTCCACAGTGACCAGGAAATCCTGATTTGTTAGTGCTACAGTTGAACTGGTCTCCCCAGCTGGGGGCAGTCCTATTGGATGAGAGACAAACATAAATCCTCCAATGGAACAAGAACAAGATCAAGCGAGCCCAAGTCTACTGGACTGGAGGATTAATCAGTCCTAACTGTATCCTGTGTTATCATCATCATCATAATTATTCTGACAGGAATATTCAATAATGATTATGTGTTGGCCACACACACATTCATTACCCTCAGTGCTCTGTGGCTCTGGTATCGGGACAGATTCATAGGTAACCTGGGGAGGTTTGTGTATCTGTATGGGAGCAGGCAGGGGTGGAGGTGGAATGTAGTTAAAGGCCTTCAGGTTGTTGATAATGTGGTTTCCAACCAATGTGCTGCGCCCGAAGGCCCGCCAATCGACCACAGTGATACTGAGAGGAGGATGGAGATGTTCGTTCTCTGGTAACTCCTACAGGACAGTAGAGGATAACTTTTATGTTACAAAAATGTATTTCATTAATTATTCAATAAATATACTGATTGCCCGGGCAGATCCAATTCAGGGACCCTGGGGTTACATAGTACACTATATGGCCCAAAGTATGTGGACACCTGAACCTTACTCTTTGATCATCTCATTCCAAACCATGAATATTAATCTGCTCAGCATCAGATTGTGGAAGCTGGCTACAGGGATTTGCTCCCATTCAGCCATAAGTTGTGAACTCCAACACTGAAGTGAGGTGACCAGGTCTGGCTCATAGTTCCAGTTCATCCCAAAGGTTTTGGATGGGATTGAGGTCAGAGGCCAGCCAAGTTCTTCCATACCAAACTGGAAAAACATTTCTTTATGGACCTTGAAATATAAAATTACCTCCCCTAAACTGCTGCCACAAAGTTGTATTGTCGAATATCAGACAGGGTTGGACAGATACATTTGGCCATATAGTGTATATACACTATAAGTGCCGTATTGGTCTTACCAGCTCTATGGCATCAACCAGTGTAGTGAAGTTTGGGTTGGACTTGTACTTCTGAATGACGGAGGAACGCAATGTTTTACCTGCACACTCTATAAACACCTAGAGAAAGAGAGAAGAGGTTTGTTATTTAATTTCATGATCATCTGTTTTTTTTTTATTATAATTTTCACATCATAATTAGTGTATGAACGCTTGAGCTATGGCCGAAAACAGTAACCTTAACCTTTGACCACAAAGTTCTAATCAGTTCTAATTCATCCTTTAGTCCATGGATGTTTGTGCCAAGTTTTAGGAAATTCCCTCAAAGCTTTCCTGAGATATCACGTTTATGAGAACAGTAGGCACGACCACTGTTGGGTTGACTTCCAGTGGCATGCAGTGCATGTAGTGGGAGTTGGAGAAATCAGCCAATAGAACAGAGATCTGCCTGGCCAAACTGGAGAAAGACTAGAAACTGCTTAAACGTCACAATAAAAAGCTGATTCAGAAGATGTAAGTGCTTGTTACACTAGAACCAGTGCCTCATTAGTGAGATGAGGGGGAACTCCACTGCCACAACCAGAGGATCAACATATACCCTGACTTGAGTGCCAAATTGCAAGGGTTGCTGAATTCAACATAGTATCAGAGATTTGTGTGAAATCTTGTCATAATTAGCGTATGAATTTTTGAGTTATGGCCAAAAACATGTTTTGTGAGGTGAACACCAAATTTTAATCAGTTCATCTGGGAGTCTGAGTGGGCGTTTGTGCCAAATTTGAAGAAAATCCCTCAAGGCATTGCTGCAATATCGCATTCACAAGAATGGCACAGGCAACCTGAAAACATAATGCCACCGCTGTCGCTGGCATAATAAAATACAGACGTCCCTCAAATTATGGTAAAAGGGGAGAGGGGAGTTTGGTCATTAAACCAATTCGCTTCACCTCAATCTGCAGTGAGGCCCAGATGAAATGCTCATTCAGTAGCCACAGTGTTCCATTTGGTTACATCTTAAAATATGGACGGTCAGGAAGCAGATACCTAAAATCTGACACAGCTTGTTCACGTGAGTGGTGTGTGTGTGTGTACCTGTGGGCGATCAACAGACAGGAACTGAACCTTCTTCAGTTCCCTCAGACCCCAGAATAACACCTGGTGGAGAGACACACACATACGAAAGTGGATTAGCGGACCAAAAGTGTTCGTTTTTTGTTAGTTATGCTGAAACAAAAATAAATTATTACCCTTCCTATTTCATGACGGTGCTGTTGGGGTAAAACTTTGTACCTCTAACCTGTCAGCTCAAGAGGAACATTGTTTTCCTAAAATGTCGGTGGAACATACAAGTTTGTGTCTTTTAATAATAGATGCTGCCGTAGTTACCAGATGAAACAACCCTTGATCCCAGAAAAGATCTTTAAAAACAGGGTCACACGTCATTTTTTTAAAAAGCCTAAGTAATGTCCTAACACACACACACACACACACACACACAGGCAGCCAAACCTCCAGCCTGTAGGTGCTGAGAACTGGTCTGATGTTGGCAGGAACCGTGTAGATGCCTCCTTCCTGTTCCTCTAACGCCGGCAGACTCTGATCTCCGGACTGTGGGATCTACACATATATTCATCACAGTGAATCACTCTACATCCTGAATCATTATGCTGGAAAGTGATTGGTTGATGGTTATTGAAATGACTGCGACCGACCTGCAGCAGTTCAAATGCAGCCAGCAGGTCTCCTCCTGGCTGGCTGCCGCAGTGCAGCGGGCTGTACTGCAGCGTTGGAGGCATGTATGGGTCAGAGGACAAGCGAACCTCAGGCACAGCCACTGTGGCTCCCAGATACTCCGCCTTACTCTGCGCACGGTGGGGGGACAGTGTGACGTCAGAGAGAGGAGGTCACAAATTAAATTCTTTACATTACTTGAATTCATTCGTCTGTCTGTCTACATTGTGTTACCAGTGCGTCGTCGTCGTACAACTCGATGATAATGCGTGGCGGCTCCTGCTGGATGTGCTGCAGATCTCCGCTCAGCAGCACGCGGCTCATCGGCAAACACTGATTCCACGTCGGACTGAGAGTCTGACTGATCACCTGACACACAAATAAGCAAATCACACAATTACACTGCTAACGAGACTATTACCTAGCTACCAATCAAGTCCTATCTCAAAAAACAGCCAGGCAATTTACAGTGGCTCAGACCAGGACTATGACTCCGGGGACAACGAATACACGGTGGATTTAGGCAGGGATAGGAGAGGCATGTGTGAGGAGTGATTTTGTATTGAGTTGATTTGTAACTGTTAACGTTACGTTTTTGTGAATTTGGAAGTTATTTATCTCGTGAGACTTGTGTTCAACCCTGGCTGGACACATTCATAATCATTACTGCTTTTACCACTTATTTATCATCAGCTGTTTTAATGACTAAATTAATATCACAAACGTTTGAAGACTAGTCTGTATTCAGGGACAGCCCCAAATGAAAGCCACAAACTGCAGTCTGGCCCAGGTAACTAGACGACCAGTATCCCAGAGAAACTTTATTGATGTCTTGGCAGAACACACACTTACATTTGTGGTTTGGCTGTGTGACATAAAGGTGACCCGAGCAAAAGGGTCAGACAGGCCGGTGTTGTCTGCAGCAATCAGACCACGAGCCTGATACATGTGGCACCTCAACTGGAACTGATGCTGCTCTGGAGACAGACAGACAGACACACACACACACACACACACACACACACACACACACATACACACAGAGGACATAACATAGTAGTTTACTTTAAAGCATCAGCCTGCCCACATCACAAAAGTACAACCCTAACCCAACTGGTTAGTGGTCAGAAAGAAACTAAAAGCAGTTAAGTACCGTCATTTGCTGTTTGAATTTGAATGCCAAAATCCCTAAAATAACCACAGAAATGGAGGGATTGTAATAATGTCTCTCTTACCAGTGCTGACCAGGTATGCTGGAGGGCTGTTGGCGTCAGCGCCCCCTGTGGCCGGGCTGAATCCTGCAGGTAGGTCATCCAGCATGTGGTTGGAGTCTGAACAGGTTCCGTACCACAGAAACACATCCAGCTTCGCCTGTACTGACAAGCCTACAACGCGCTTCCCTGGAGGCTGCACACAAACACACACATATGTATAATAGTGTGTATTTCTGACAGCCTTCCTACATTGAACAACTCAGTGTGAAGTTCTGTGTGTTTACCTTTAGAAACAGTGTCATTATCTTTCCACAGTGGATTCCTCTGGCCTCCTGGCTGCTGGAGTACAGCAGGTCTCTGGTTCGGACCCGAGCGTACGCAACGCGCTTGTTGTTGCTGAGCAACCACACAAACATGTCAGGCACTGTGTGCTGGGGCTGCAGTGTGTAGAGAAAAGTATATGTTCAAAGTAAATACAGACAAAAGTGATGTGTTTACACACAAATTGACAGGATGTGCGTAAAACACACACACACACACACACACACACACGGTGAGTCCCGTACCTCCTGCACAAGAAAGCGTAGTTTGTGTGTGAGTTTTGTGGCGTCCTGCAGCATTTCTTTCACACCACCAGCTTTTCTCTTCCTCTCTCCCAAGGACTGGGCCTCCCCTATCATACCCTCCTGCAACACACACACACACACACACATTGTTGTGAGACATTATCCCTGCACATCTTTGGTGCAAATGCTCAAATTATTAACGCATTCATAAATCCACTGCATTGTAAAACTGAAACTGACAAATAAAACTTGATGAACTGTTTTTTATGTAACAGGTACAGCAGCATTTTTACAACAGAGAAACATGATTCTGAGTGTGTGTGTGTGTGTTTGTGTGTATCTCAGGTTTTCCCACCAGTTCCTGTTTACACATGGTGAGGCGTTTCTTGTCCAGCTGTGTCAGGTAGCTCGACTTTAGCTCCGCCTTCAACTTGGCCTCTGCTTCTGCTATGAAACTCCTGCAGAAAATACATGTCTCATTTCATGGAAATCAATTAAGTCATTTGTGATCTCGAAATAAAGGAATTAAAAAAATTATTGCAAACACAGCTGTTCTCAGCTTCTGTACTTTTTTTTTTACTACTGTCCAAATGACACATTAGCAGCTGGTGACACCATGTATCATGTCTGTCTACACCCTCTCCCGGACAACAGCAGAGTTATAGTGGAATTATAGTTGTGCGTCATAGTGTACGCTGCATCAGATTTCAGCCATGGGCACTAGTGGAACATTAAATCGGTGTATCGTACATTATCAGGCTGTATCATGGTTTAATCATGTATGTATGTATGTATGTACAGTAACTGTTTTCATTCTGTCGTTCACTGTATGATTGTAGCAGGTAAAAGCTTTGCGGTGGAGACAGCTTTGCAAGATGTGTGTTAAGGAAAGGATTACTGAGCTTTTTCTTCCTGTTTAATGATTAATGTTGCAGACCAAGCTGACCAATCACAGTTCTTGCAGTCTCCATACAGTACTGACGTAATCCCGACTTGTAGTTACATATTTGACAAGCTGTCAAAACCCTTCACTGTGAATCAGACTTTAGCAGAGACAGGGTGAGCAGAGAATAGTGAATTCCAAAATGGGAAAAAAACAAAAAGACACTAACATACACGATCAGCAGTGGATTTACGATCAAATGTCACATCATATATGATGTCATGCCGTGTTGCAAGTGGGGAGGTGGAATGTGGTGGCATGCAAAACTCATAATTATTAGCTAGTCAGGTGTTTTTGTCGTCAGTATTGATATAGTATTGAAACTGACACATCTACTTAAAAAGGGTAGAATTGACATTGGGAATAGAAATATATAATAATATATTCCAACTATACTATACTATTTTAAAGGGCCAGTGTGTAGAATTTAGTGCAAAAACTCAACTATTCTTATTTCCAATAAGAATTTTAAGAAAATTTGGGTTCTAAGCTTCTTAGTTCAGTCAATGATATACTTCCTCACAGTAAAATTATGCAGATTTTATGATTTGTCTTCCACATTAGATTTTTTTAAAGCAATGCAGTTCAATCTGTCCCACCATTGTCGCAGTGAGACACAACTGGTGAAATACCTGGCGTCCATACAGAATTCTCTGAGGACAGTTCTGAGCATATGCTCCGCCCCTGGATCAGACTTCTTGTGTAACTGGGCTGCACTGGCTACACCCTCCTCCTAAAAGACAGGAAATATACAGTTAGGTCCATATATATTTGGACACTGACACAAGTTCTGTTATTTTAGCTGTTTACCAAAACATATT